AGAAAGGAAAAATTTAAATTGCATCATATGACCCCTTTAAATAAACACCTAAATTAAATAGAAAATATGTATGCAATTAAAGAAGCTATGGCAGAATGAGTAATAGGGTTGCAAATTTAGCCTGTCACACATGGGGGCAACTTTATTTGGGACAAAATGTTGATTTTAGATTGATTGAAACCTATTTCTCATAAATGAAAGAAAAATATTTTCTTGATGATTTTTTTCTTATATAGAAAATATAACTTGGGTGAGAGGTGTGAAGATTTGTGTGAAAATTGAGACATTAAATTGTATTGTTTACTTGTCTTTTTAAGTATCTTGCTGTAAAAGTCTTGCAATGCTGTCTTGCTTGACCTCATATTACATTTAGATATAGATGCTATGTTATATAGAGTGCTCATAGGTCACTTTGTGATATAACGCATTAATTTCACAGAAATAAACTGTTTAAACGTGTATGTTTGAAGGTGCATGGTGGGCTGGCTTTATTGACATGGATTCAAATCCTCCTTTTCTGTGCAGCCGAGAAAAATCAACAAATGAACCGTTCTCAGATGAGCTCGAATGGCACTCTGTAAATACATTTGGCGCTATTGGAGATTTCCTTGCAATTGGGTCAGAGGATCACATAAGTCAGATGTGAAATTTTAGAACAGCATGCTATAACCCAGCAGGTGACTTCTCCTTGACAGAAAGACTTGTCTCTTTCCTGTGCTGTTTATTTTGTGGTCTGCTGTTCTTAGTTTTAGTATTTGCAGGATTTGATTGGGTGTTTCATCTTAGAGGTATAAAAAGATGCTATGGAGTCTTGGGAACTATCCAGGAGGCTCAGTCTCTGAATGAAGACTTTGGCTGCGGTGTGAAATTACTGTAGAAGTTGGAGAGGAGACCTTTTTATATGTCCTACTGTGCAACAGAAGTGCTTGATAAACAGTTTCTGCATGGAGCACCTGCACCGCTTTTTCCGGAGGTGTTCTGTCCTAGATAACCTTCCCAGAATGCCAGAGTGATTAAGCAGTTCCAGAATGTCTCTTTGGCCTCTGGAGGTTTAATTCAGGAAAGATTGATGGAGCCAGAGTTTGCTACAACACTGATGACACGGGTGTGACCTTCAGCATTGTGTGGACAGGGCTGATATGAATCTGATCTCCTGTGAAATTACTCACTGACTTGCCATTAGCGTCAGCCCCTTACTTTCTGGCAGTGGGATTCTGGCTGGCAGGAGCAGATCAAGAGGGCACCGAACATTTTAAGAAATGTTCCATACAATGAAAGCCAATGTTGGACCCCATTGACTTTTATTGAATGGACAAAAACAATATCTTCTTTTGTATCCCATGAGAGAAAGTCTTATAGCCTAGGTTTGGAGTGCCATAAGAATAAGTAAATAATAGATTTTTTATTTTTGAGAGAACTGTCTCTTTAAAGATTTTTTTTACTTTTGGTGACAGAAGCTTGTAGCTTGAAGCATTTACTTCGTGCCAGGGTCTTACGAGTTGCATTGTGACCAAGACCGTATTCATG